AAAAAAAAAAAACCTAAACAAGTGACATGAATCGACTCGTCTCATCGTTACTATGTCTCATGCAAAAATATTCCTCACGAAAATAGTTTATCTTTTGTTATGTCGACCTAATCATTATAAACATACTATTTTTTTTCACTAATGTTAATGCTTTCACAAGAAAATGTTACACTAAAATAATAATAAGAATGATAATAATAATAAAATAATGTTCACCTACTCACGATAGACACATTTTAATATGTCCACCGTTTATGTGGCATGCACACATTGGTGATGTTAATATATTAAAAAATACATTACCAATAAATACATGACACATAAGCGATAGAAATATTAAAATATGTCCACAGTGGGCGGAGCATCATTACTCAATAATAATAATACTAGTATTAATACTCATGTACAACATGAGTGTTGAGTTAATGAATATATGTGTAAAATTATTTATGTCCAACACCAAACCTAACTCCAGAGCAAAAGTAATATAAAAACAACATCACGAAGCATAGATTTTCACCATATCAGTATCCGAAGTGTGAGAATCTGCCACCCAGGCTCAACCCGTTTTGAATTAATATATAGGGAGTGATAGACAGCATATTTGATCATCATATAAAATGTGGATGACAACAACAAAGTGAAAAGGCTCCCTTCTCTCCGGTTCACATCCCTGCAATTCCTCTCTCTTTTCTCTATAATCGCTCACATGTATTCTCCGCCTCTCTCCTTCACTCCCTTCGAAGAACAATACTTCACAGTAGAGCACCGCTCAAAGGATCCCTGAATCTCGCTCTATCAATTCTAAAAAACCCTGTAACCGTCACTGGATCCCTTTTCATTTCTCGCTAACCGACGTCGTTTTAGCTGTCGCTTAGCTTCTCATGGGCACCTCGAACGGTTATTCCACGAACTATCAGTATTCGTATTCGTTTGCAGATTCACGGCGAGACGTCTCTTACTGGTGAGCGACGGATGCTTATTTTTTTTGAGATTTTCCGATCATCATTTTGCCTTGAGTATGGCTCGAATAGCTTGATTTTTTTCCGTAATTGATATGGGCTGCCGGAAAATTAAAAAAAAAAATGTAATCTTTGAGCGATTATCATCAATTTCATTTGCGGGCTTCTACAATTTCCTGTCCTGTGTTGTATGATAAAGCTGCTGTGGTGGAAATTATGCCGACTGAAATGAAATTCGTTTTGCTAGCGTCATCAATTGGTCTGAGGCTGATGAACATTTTAAGCTAATGAATTGTCTTTTTAAATATGTGGATGTTCATTCACCACTGGGTTTGATGTTATTAGATATCTGTAATCTTGGGTACTTTAGGTTTATTGCTGTCATTACCAAATTGGAAGCATTAGCATAGTTCATAAGTTTTTTCGTTGAGTCATACATTTCACGTGGGCGTGCAGAAAATCATTTCCATGAGGATATAAGCGAACAATCGGTAGATGCAAAATAAATTTCTGGGCAATGTATTCGTATGAGTCGCTGGTTATATAAGTTTTTGAGAGATAAATTTCTGCACTGTGTGAAGGCCCGACATATTTGTGTCAAACATGTAAGGTGTCATTGCATTAGCTATGAGGAGAATATCAAAATTCGTTTGGTTTAGTTTGGTTATATTGAGGATGCAGAGTATATGTCGTGATCTGCCCTGTTTTAGTTTGTATTAGGATTGTGATGCCACTTAGTATTCACAAATCTTTTCTGCATGTAGGGATTTGTTTGAAAGAATAGATTGGATCTTAGTCCGACATTGTGTTTGTGCGTTGATTTTCATCATTCAGAATCTTCTTTACTAGCTGGATACTTTATATGCCAAGCTATTTACTTTCGAATCTGTGTTGATTACAAGCATTTTCCGTATTTCACGCATTTTTCATTAATGCACGTGGCAACAAATATGTGAATATTTGAAAAAAAAAATATACTTTCTAATTCTTTTTTGGAATCTGAATTTATGTCTGGAAAGTATTTTAGTCAGTATATAGTGTCGAGTCTCTTGCACGAATGTTCCTTTATTTGTATGGTCTTCTGGTAATTAAGATTTTTTTTTTTTTTTTTAATCAATATGTTTGTATGACTTATATTTGTTTCTCATACTTGAATTGGTCAACTAGAGCTGTGACGGGTCTACTACAATCATACTCGTAGCTGAATAGAGAAATTTATAATAATCAATCAATTGAGAATCATCTTCCATGTAAACAAACGCAACTTGTTTCCTAATTTTCAGAACTTGCATGCATTGCTTTAAAAAAAAAAAAAAAATTTGTTTAAGTCATGTTGGTTTAAGGCCACAACAATTTTAGTCCTAAGGTTCCAACTTTTTGCCTTTTGGTCGTGTAATTTAATATTTTACGACAATTTCAGTTCTTTGAGTGCTGAAACTGCAAGAAAATTTTAAATTACAGGACTTAAATTTCTAATCGAAAATTTGTGAATTTGTTGCAATTTCAGTCCTCAAATGACTAAAATTGCAGCAAAATATAAAATCACAAAGGCCAAAAGTCGAAATGTTGGAACCTTAGGACTAAAATTGCTATGGCGTTAAGCCAGCAGGACTAAAAATGCAAATGTGCCATGTTAATGTTCACAATCTTTCACAGAAAAGCTGGTATATCACAAATCTTTTTTTATTCAATCACAAAATTTTACTATTTCATTCATGCAGTTGTGGTTCTTGTGGCTATGATCTGAACCTCAACTCGTCCAGCCGAAACACATCGACCATTGGTTCGAAATACGGAAAGTTTATAATAAAAGGGATCATCTCTTTTTACACTATCGACGAGAGCAGATTCAATCAAGTCCAAGATTTCAGTTGTGTGCCCTATTTCATTTCCAAGCACTTCTGGGGCTTTTTCCGTAAAAGGACCAAACTTCTGTGCCGAAATTGTGGGAGCCTTATCGGTATAGCCCGTGACGTGAAAGATGACTCGTCTTACCATCTCATAACAAACGGGACGGGCCCACACTCTGCGGGCCCAATCTCTACTAAGAGAAAGTATGATATCAAGATTCGTTCCCTGCAGCCCTCGTCTGCAGGTTTCGGTACGCCTCTTGTCCTGTGATTGTTGTTTGAATTTTGAAACATTCAGATGAGCTGGTTTTAGCATAATTACGAAACTACTCTTAGCTGGATGACGTGGTTAAGAACTTGCCTGGAAATTCCTTTGGAGATTTTGCATCTTCTTGAAAAACTAGAGACATGTATGGAAAAGGGTAATTTTGTGAAAGGAGATTTTGATTGTGGCTTTTGTTAATCGGACTCGACTTTTTGAGGGTGCTTTCGCAGTTAAGCCCGTTTTTGTTTGAATATATGGGCATTAGCCATGATGGGTTGTAAATGATCCGTCTTTTTTCATTTGTTCTTTCAGCTTTTTTCTCGATCAATCGGACTTTACCACTGTATAGGTGAATTGTGAATGAAGCCTTTTGTACCGAATGATTTTACATGAATGAAATTGAGAAATTTACATGGCACATTATCTCTCTCTCTCTCTCTCTCTCTCTCTCTCTCTCTCCATCTGGGGTAACTCACAATTTTGACATAAAATTGGAGTTCTTGATATGGTCTGAATTTAAGGGTAGTTTTCTAGCTATTCCTACTTTTAATTATGTTAGCAGACATGAACAACAATAAAATGTCTGAATA